CTCTCTCTCTCCCTCTCCCCCTATCTCCTCACCCTCTGCTATTTGTCGCCTTGCGTAAAGTATGGAAGTCTCCTAAGACCGTGTAGCTGTTACACTGAAATAGCGAGACTTTCCTTTACATAAAAAACCAAACAAAACAGAGAAAAAATGACTGGAAGGACTTACAATTACGATCCGTGTTCAGACTTCTGGCGGGAAGAGACTACACTCGAACCAACTGCGCTGCCGCCGTCATCTCTCTCCGATCTGTACGTGTTCGAGACCACAGACCTGGACGTGCTGGAGAGAGCGCGCGAAAACGCCGACGATAACACGTCATTGGAGTCGTTTTTTTCCCTCTCGGACATCGATACAGCGCTCGGGAGTCGAGATAAGAATGTCCGCCATCTGGACCGACGTTTCGCAGACGATGATAAAATGGTGGACAAGATGGCTGACGAGGATAAACTGACGGGCAATGATAAAAGTGAGGACAAAATGGCGGACGATGATAAAATTGAGGACAAAATGACTGACCATGATGAAATGGAGGACGATGATGAAATTGAGGATAAAATGGCGCACGGTGATAAAATTATGGTGGACGAAGTCGGGTTTTGTGGTGGTGGTCGTGGTGGTGGAATGAGGGACGTGAGCCATGTAGAAACGATGTTTCTAGGTTCAACTGATGACGTCAGAGAGAGTTCACACGGGGCAACCGCGCTCTGTGAAGTTTTCTCCAAGATGGTGGGTCATGGGGCAGCAGATGGTGGTGAAGGAGCCTGTGTCTGTTTCTCTCGTTTACTGCCTGTTTTCTCTCTCTCTCTCTCTCTCTCTCTCTCTCTCTCTCTCTCTCTCTCTCTCTATTTCACTCCCTGTATCTCTCTCTCATGTTCCTTTTCGAAAATTCTGTTCTCAGGCTTCAATTCCTAAGTAGTATATCTTGTTAACTGAATTCCTAAAAGAATACCTGGTGGCAACCCAAGGTTAGAATAGCTATCGCAGGATAGAGAAGCCTTGTTCAATTCACGTTCATCAGCTGACATGGCTCTTGCCTGAGCTTGCATGATATGCCTCTCAAGCATGGCTGCCTCATCCATACGGCGCTGCCACTCAGTGTAGACCTAAATTTTAAATTTACCACAAAAAAGCTCAATGAAAATATGAATGTGAAGCAATCTTTACAATAGTGGTACATATTTATACTTATAAATCCTGAATATACAAACTGCTTACAAAGTATGCTTTGAAATTTTAAAACATGTAATCAAATTTTCATGTCTTTGTGAATTTTTTTAACACCGTATCTCCGGTCCCAATGTCTTGCTGTCAGAACCACTGTGCCAGTGAGCCACAGGCATCAGCTCAGGCACTTTCCTTTACAACAACTTTGACGTAAAATTACTTTTGAGCAATAGATGAAAACAGGTCTTTTTTACCGGGATTTCATTCATTAGATTAAGAAGTTCACTTATTTTGATTTCATGACCAATTTATTGCAACCCAAACATAACTGGTATTTCTCAGAAAAAAGAATTTCTATGCATTTGTAACCATCAGTTATTGTCTATTGTGTAATAGTGTACATTTAGATAGCAATTAAAAGCTTACCTGTTGAAGATTTTCTACATATCGTTCATGATATGGATCATCCCCTCCTTTGGAAACTTGAAGATTTTTCACAGTGTCAGGCCTAACAGCATCCCGTGTGTAAAGGTCTCTGAACGTTCTGGCAAGTATGTGGCGTACATCTTGAGAACGTCCCGTAGAAGGCCTCTGAAGGTACATAGGAGGTTCTTGACCACGAGGGGTCGCCTGAGCTTTGACAGACGTCATAATGGTCTCCATCTGTTTCAGCTAAATTATCTGTAACCAAAAAGCAAAACAATGTCCATTGTACAATTGTTAGGTATCGTATCAGTTCTCACAGTTATATCCAAGCTGGCAAATCTAGGTATACATAAAAGACAAAGAAACCATGGCTTTCTTGACACAATAATAAAATTGCAATTTCAAAAAGAATAGTTTTTATCTAAACAAACTGGACACAGAGGTTACACTAAGATCAATATATAAGCTAAACACAGCATCAGTCAGTAATTAATTTCATAAGCCTAAGCCAAGCCCTATCCGACAACTAGAAAATCAGTTTCCAAAAAATACTAAAAGTAGAAGTCTAGTACATATCTCTTTGAAATAGCATGGATTTTTAAACTGGTGTACAAGCAAGCTGTATCATTAAATCACTGCCAAGATAATCTTAGGCGTTTCTAAAAACCTCCACAAGTCAAGTCGTAACTGATGTTGGACGCTTGCACTTGCATTGCCACAATGGTAGAGATCTAGATCTAGATCTAGATCTATATCACTATATCTAGATCTAGAATCTAGATCTAGTTTAAGGCCCTGCTCGCTGTCTTGGGGACGGCACGAGCGAAATGCTTTCACAAATGTTAGAAAAAGAAGAAAATTATTTACCCAATAAGAAAATATCTCTCTTATATGGTTGGGTCACAAGTTTTTCAAGGAAAAACTGGAAGACACTGGGTTGTGTTGTTTTTGTTTGCGTTTGTTCACTCTAGATGGTCGCCATATTATTTACTCCATGTTTCTAAGCACCTGTACGGTAACGAGTCAAATTTTGCTACTACGATCACTTATAAGAATTTGTACCTTTTTTGTTTCTGAAGACTTCAGAGTATAAGAATATCATTACTTTTCCTAGCTAAATATTTAAGTTTACTTCTTAAATTTAAAAATAAACTTGATTTGATGAATAGAGAGTATGATCTTTGTTAAAATCCAATGGGTACTAAGAACGAGATAATATTATTACATTCACCGGACACCCCTTAAGACTCGTAGAACTTTCAACTCCATTTTTCTTAATGATAATTAATCTGTTAAACATTACCCATTTTTATGTTTTGTGCTTTACTGAATAATCCTAGGAGCTGCCTGAAGAAGGATAAAGAAACTGTGGAATATTGATACAGATTTTGAAAAGCGGATGAAGCATCCCACTCTTAAGTTTAGGCTCAAATTAGTCAAATGTTATGGTTTGGAACAACGAGTCGACAACGACCGAAGAAACCAAAGATCCTATACTACAAAACTACAAGATACTTCATTCTTCTTTTTGAGTGAATACGTCCCCAAAATCAGCGGTGGCGCCACCTGAGGATTATCCAAGGATCTTAGAACTAATGGAGCCTCCTCTCTCTCTTCGCGGCGCCACGAGCAGCACGCCGAGGTGGGGAGAAAAATATGGCCGCCGACTATGGTCTAAATCACGAACTGCGGTGTTTCTTTTTATAGAATCTTATCGGGTTTGGCCACGTTGTGGGGGTGGACGGGGTGGGGGGATGCACGCAAGGAAGAGGGGATGGGGCTGGGATGAAAGAGGAGGGGCAGGCCTTGGGAAGGGACGAAGGAGAATGGGGAAAATTAAATAAAAGAGAGAGAGAGAGAGAGAGAGAGAGAGAGAGAGAGAGAGAGAGAGAGAGAGGGGGGGGGGGGGTGGTGAGACAGAGAGAAACAGAGAGAGACAAAGAGAGAGATTGTGATCCACTGATGGGATGACGGATAAAATGACAGGGAGAGAAAAAAATTATGTGTGTGATACGGACTGTTCTGGGCAACTGAGAAAGCCTAGGGACTGTTCAATTATTTAAGAGTTTTATGTTATATAGCTAGTTTAAAAATTAAGAAGATCGGAAAACTAAGAAGAAAACGTATAATAAAATTATCAAACATACCAAATTATAAAGATAATCTCTCAAGACGCTAAAAGGTTTAATTATAATAAGAAATTGTGAAAATGAACTGATTTTAAGATATGACTGCATGATTCTAGGCGTGTGCCATAACTAGCTTTATGTGTAATGAACAGCGAACACAAAAGAGGGTCGAAGCCAGCTTTATCTGATTGCTAACAATAAATGTCTTGGTCTATAAATAATAATAGGTCAATTATTGATTAAAATATTTTTTTTGTTTCCAGCTGTTTTTCACAAAGTGGAGCGCACAATAATTTCAAATATAAAAAAGAGAGACAACAATACCTTTGGACTTTTCGAATGAGATCAAAACTTACTATTATTAATGCAGGAATAGTACAGTCTTTGTTAGCTTGTGTCGTTGCGTTCCTTGTCCTTATTAATGAAGCGATCACTCAGCAGCCGTTCATGGTGATGGGCAATCATGTTAACATAATATTATTCTACATGCCTCCGTGATAATTTGGTGGGCATGGGTATGAGGCGGCCTTGTTGGCTCTACCTAACGAATCATGCCTTGGCTGTAAGCTCAGGCGGTAGGCTCTTATTGCGAGTTCGATGTTCGTCAAAATCAAAGGCGTTGATGAGGAGTTCACACTTGGGCGTGATCCCTTGTCGTAAAATCCTTGTGTCTGGAGCAAGGAGCTTAGAAACGTAAACTCCTTGGTCTGGAGCAAACTTTTACCTCACATTGAGATTTAGAGTGGAGATGTGATCCCACGCATGAGCATGGATGACCTTTGAAGGTTGTTGTTTGTTTGTTTGTTTTGTTCAGTAAAATACGATATGGAACGCAGCGTTTTTAGCCCCTTCACACTTCAGAAGGGGGGGGGGTAATTTATCTTAGGGATGACTAGTGTAGTAAAATTTGTTGCTGCTTTGTTTGATTTATTTTTTAACACCGGAATCTTAAGTGAACCGGAATTATAAATTATGGGATCTTAGGTGAAGACTACAACAATAAATCTAAACCGAGTATAGTTCTATCAAACAAGACTCAAACTCCTATCTACTCACCCTAACCCCTCTCCTCATCTGATATGGTTTGGTGTTTCTTTAACATACAAGATGTTCGTCATTATTGTTGTTGGGTACCGATTTCATATTTTAATGGAGCCTCTCGATATCTACATTTAGACAACAGTAGTCTTATAGTAATTATGGGCTTAAAAATATAAAACAAGTTTGACTGACTGATTGAACTCAATACGCTAAGGTGTGTTATATGATTAGTAAATACATGAAAACAAGATACATGTAGAAACCTAGACTCTAGATTTTGTCCCGTCAAAATAAAGATCTGTTGCGCATAGCATCTAATTGGCACACACAATGGAAAGCAATATATACTTTAATTAAAATGTATAATATGTATATAAATACATAAACACACACACACACACACACACACACGCACACGCACACACACGCACACACACACACGTGCGCGCGCGCGCACACACATACACGCACACACACATGTAAGAATATTTTTATTTTTTAAAAATCAAGTATCTCAGTCTTTCTTTTGGGTGTTGTTACAGTGTATCCCTTTCAGCCCCGGTTGGCCTTGGCAGGTAGCCCCGGGGCCAGTCTTTTATAAATGTTGCTGATCTAAATTGTGTCGCTGGGGGCATAAAAGCACTTTCATTCGGATTTTTTAAAAAGGAAAACAACACCCGTGAAAACATAATATGTCCACTGCTGCATCATATCGGTTCTTACACTTACACACTACACAGATGGAAGGCATTTTTACGAACTGACTACACGGACCTCGGAATAAGACCTTTCTTTGGCCTATCTAGGCTAGATTTCAGTGCGTGAGTCGGGCAGTCGTGCAGCGCAGTTAGACCATAGTTCCGCTGCGAGAGATCGAGGGCCCCTATCATCAGGCGTGCGGTGCCGCCCACAGAGCATCCTCCATTACTTTTAATCTCCTTGGGATTATCGCAAATGAAACGCTGTTTTTAGCTGTATTCTGTAAATGAACACGGTGAATCATGTAGGCCTAGGCTAGGCCTTTAGTTGTTTGTTATAGAGATAGATTGACCGACGATCTGTTGCTGTGGAATGTGTGCCTAGGTCAAAGCCTACTCGACTTGCCTATCCGGGTAGGCCTACTTTTTTTAGGCAGTCCGACTGCCATTGCTGACTGCTGACGTGCTGGTCATCACATTGCACCTCTGTCTGGTGCTCATCACATCTGTTCCTTCATGTGTGACGGTTCGATCGTTGTCGTAGTCAGAATTTATTGTGCTGCTTAATGCTCCGTCAGATGTCGAGACATCAGTGTATCCTGACCCTGCAAAGATGATGACTAGATCTAGAAATCTAGATTCTAGATCTGGACCAAAACAGAAAGCCATTTACGAGCAGAACAGGTTTATCAATTATTATGTCATGTTATGTCCATAGAAATGAATATGCAAACGTTTCGCCTTTCTTTTTCTTAGATTCTTACCCACTCCACTTGCATTCTCTCATTACAGTAGCCTTAGCAATGGATCCGCCATGGTTAGCTTATGTATTGGGGTGGTAGATCGGGAGGACTTCCGTGTAACGAGCGACCACTATGAGACAGAGCAGAATTGTGGGCTTGGGGTAGGGGTAAGGGTAGGGTTAGGGTTAGGTCTAGATCTAGGCCTCTTCTTTATTGTGTTTGATGGGGTGGTCGCTCGTTACGGAAGTCCTTCCGGTAGATTTAGTCTTGTGAAGTCTTGTCTGTACTTTTCGTGGTGTCGGGCCCATTGTTTATTTTTTTCAAGTTTTAATTTCTTCCTCGATCAAGGCTATAGGCCTAGATTGCTTGCTATAGCCTGATAGCTAGATCTTTATTAACTCATTGAAGACGCAAGTTTTTCATCAAGAATTTCCCTGGAAAGGCATGATTTTTACCTTTTTAAAAAAAAATCAGTGTGATAAACCTAACAACTGTAGCCTACAGAGGTATAAAATTTGACACCAAGTAACTTGTAAGATCATCATGTATAGATCTATTACATAATATTATGTAGGCTAATGTATTTATTTTTACAAAAACAGAAAAATTATGTTTTCTGTGTAAAAACACATTGTACGTGTAAATGTGGAAAAAAAAATGTTTGATGAGCTAAGCACAAGAATTTACCATAGTCAAAAAGAATGGTTTCGAACAATACTACAAAGTGATATAGATCTAGATCAGGGTCAAACAAATAAAAAAGAATTAAGTTCTCCTTTGAGTGAAATGCCACAGCAAGGTGCAGCCATCGTAGCTTTGAAATCACTGTCCCCAGTAAACGGTGGTTCGAAAGGGAAATTGTTACAATTTTTCACCCAGTCATACATCTCCACATCATCCTCATCCTCCTCTCCACCAGTACTTTCACGTCCTACATCAGTGTCTTCATCACTGCTAAGCAGCTGGCTGAATCCGAAGTCTAGATCTGGACTTTGTAGCTAGCTCCAGAGCTAGGCCCAAGTCTAGAGTCAGTCTGGCTCTCAGAATCAGCTGATCCAGTGGCGATGCCCATCTCCTCTTCTTCATCAGTTGTAGTCCCACCATCAAATCTTTCCCGTCACTGCTGAGGTCTTGAAAAAAAGGTTCATACTCATCTCCACTCTCTTCAAGTGACTTATCAGGAGCATTGTCGTCTCTTGATTCAAATACCGATCACTTCGTTGGTAGTGAACAAGGAGCATTTAGCTATGTTTCTTGTTTACGTCAAAAGTAGGTCAGGTCAGCGTGTTCTGGCAGATCGCAATCAACTAAACAATTCGGGTGACCACTGGTCAAAGGGGTACTACCACAATAAAATTTAATAGTTTAACTGACATTGGGAGTCATTCCCCTCGAAATTCTATTAGTTTTTAGGTTTAAAAAAAGAATGATACAATTTGTCGGGTCCCCGGGACTCGACACGTCAGTTAATCTAGCCAGACTTGATACTAGCCAAAGTCTCTATACTAGATCTAGGCATAAGCTTTTGTTCATTTTCGTCTGCGAAGTGAATATTGGGACTCGAGTCCGATTAGACAAAAATTATATTCTGACTCTGAATTGAGTCCAGTATGGTGTCCATTCCAACTTCCAACCCTTGTTCCTAAATATTTCCAGCATTTATGAAAAAAATATTCGTTTTTAATGTGATACAAGTGTAATCGAGACATGAGCTTTAATATAATCCAGTTACTAGGTTAATCTAAACTGGCCATCCCTGTATCATTAGTAATAGTAAGAACAGAACAACCAAGTTGTATTGACCTTGCCGGGGGGGGGGCAAAGCTAATGTTGACTAGTGAGATTGCACATAGCGATCTTGCACTCTCGGCTTGCTTGGGGGAAGAGGTGTTCGGAAGAGGCCACAGACATCGATTTTGTGCAATGTGATTTTTAAAAAATCAATTACAGAAAAACTAAAAGACACAACAAAATGAACTTAAATATGTGGAAAGACAAATGGTGGTGGAAGTAATGATGATGCTGTAGGCTAGTAGTGGTGGTGTGGTAGTGAGTTGTCGGTTACAGTGTGCTTTGACTTAAACACTGCCACTGAGCAATGAGAGTACAGTCTTTAGACTTTTGACACAATTGCACAGTCCTAGTAGATAATTCTAGTTCTAATTCTGGTTTTACGTAAAATCCCCTGACGACCATTTTATTATGTAACCTCCCCACACTCACATAACTCACTTAGAAGCCAAGTCGAAATATAAAACCTTTTTTTCGGACCTTAGTCCGAGACAAAAAAAATTTAATCCGACTCGAGTCCGAATAGCACTGGCCTTACGTCTGACCGCATTAAAAAAGTTCTAGCTCATTTACTAATTTACCTATGCCCACAAAACTTTGCATGGTATGTCTGCAGGCCAGTGACCATACAAAACCTATTTTTTCCCCAAAATCTTGATCCAGTATGCCCTAATAAAAAAGTTTTTCTCTTTTGGCTCTATTACAAAATGCTCTTTGGATGGATACACAGGTACACTAAAATAATGACTTACAGTACACATGGCTTTCAAATTGCTCATTTTGAGGTCGCTACACCACCCTACCTCCACATTTTATTTCAGTGTATTTTTGTAGATTTCATCCCTACACTTCTAGACACGTCTTCCGGGCCAGGTGCTCAAATGAGTCTCAAATTCCTCACTCCGTCTCTTGAATCACGTTTCTTAGGCATACCGGTTCGTTAAAGTGTGGTGTTCAGGAAAATATGTCAGAATCAACATTGATGTTTTAGGTGTGTGTATGCTGTTATAATTTCTTTTACCCGCTTTAGGGTTACTTCGACTTCGAAGAAAAAGTGTCGGAACTTTAGTTTGCAGAGACCTTTATGAATGAGGGCTTTTAGATTCTGTTGGTCATCCAAATTTTAGACCTGTATGCAAAGATCTGAGCAGATTGCGGTTTCATTTTACCTTGTTTTAACCATGGTCAGATGAAAGTGAGCAAATTTCAACAAATAGTAGAAACTAGAAGAGAAAGTAGGGTAAATAATTTTTTTAATGTTACTTTCACTCCTGCACACAGATGCACTGCCAGTAGTATTTTTTGCTGCAGATCACACCTGATATGGACACTAAAACTGTTGCAAATCAATTATTTTTGGAGTGGTTATACGAAAAATTGTGCAAACAACTCTGTCTGGTTATCCGTACAATATTGTACACACAATTGCTACACAATTGTACAAATAACTGCTTCAGTTATCTGTACAGTAGTACATGCCTACGGGCCTACATGGTCTGTCTTAGTAGATCAGTGCTTCCAAGGCGAAATTTTTTTATTTTCGCCAGACCTCATCTGCCAATTCGATGCCTGCCGCCTCATTGATGGTGTTCCCCAATGTAAAAAAAAACTACGTCAAAATATAGACTATGTTGCCTTGCCTTTCGTGAAAGCATGTTGTAAAAATATTTAAGCTTAATCTACCTTTAAAATGTTGAAAGTTCTGATGGCCGAAATGACAGCGTGTTTGTGTTAGAAGAAGTGCAAATTATTTGATGATGAGTGTGGGATCGAATCTCGGTCCCAGAAGTTTTTTTTGGGTTTTTTTCTCCTACCCCGACTGACCAACAATTTTTTCTATAATTGTTTGATTTGACTTCAAAGATTTCCACTCACGGTTTTGTGTAAAAACAAAGAAACGTACTCATTGTCAAAATTATACTTATATTTTAATGAAAAAGTATATTTTTCCTTTTAGGCTGACCAATTTAGGCACCAACGACTTCCAAAATTCGAATAATTTTACGAATAACTCTGTCTGGTTATTAGTACAATTGTACTATAATAACTAGTTAAAGAGTTATACACACTATTGTACCAATAACCACAGACATTATTTTCAAGAAAATTTCAATCCTAACTGCAAAGCATCAAATTATGGTCCAAAGCGCGAAAATTACTATGCAATTAGGCTTAGTGTGATATTATAGTTCGTTTAAAAACCATCAAATATTTCAAAAACTGTTGATTTGCTACGGAATTGAAGCCGAATATTCATGTTCAGCACATCAAATAAATAGAATATAGACACCACCTAGTAGTAGTAGCTAAAGGTGAGATGGGAGGGAATGTAAAAGAATGCAGAAAGAAGTGTCAAGAAAGGTTCAGGTATTATCTCAACACTCGTAGTAGTATGCACATACCGTTGAAAAACGCATGATGTCCACCAAGAGACTTTCCTGCATGCACAATTTCTGCCCTTTAGAAATTATGCCAGTGATAATCCTTCCTTTGATCTTTGACTACCATGGAGGAGCCAACAAAAAAAAATTGAAGTGGTTAAGTTATTTTAACCCAATCCTGCCTCCGGGCACTTAAGCCCTGTTAGCTCTGTTCTGAAAATTACCCTCTCCTCCCAAGAAGGGCATAGTGTACTAAATTAAACTTTTTTTCATCTATAATTATAAGCATCCTCAAAAAGTTTTGAAAATTTAATATCAAATTAAATTGGGGGGGGGGGATAGATGAAAGATTTTAAGGTCTAGTTTATTTTCTGGTTGGTCAAGGATTGTCAGCATTTAACTGGTAGTTTGTAGTTTTCTATCTTCGACTTCGCCATCTGACTCAACATCTAGATCGTCTAAATCTTCTTCAACGTCCAATTTCTCCTTCTGTCCAGACATTAGTCCCTTGTTAATTTAATCCTCCCCTTCAGTTCTGTGTTATGATATCCATAGAGTGTCTTTATGGAGGAATTTGGGGCTGTTTCATCATTCCACCTGGCGGAATTTTTCACTTTCCTTCATTTTTCTTTTTCGCTCCCAGTAGCCTACCATCAATACACTTCACATAACAGGCGTTCAGTAGGCTAAAACAGACACACACACACACACACACACACACACACACACACACACACACACACACACACACAAGTGGATGGTTGGCGGGTGCTCTGGTGTGGTTTGCTTCTTCTTTCCTATGAAACATCTATAATGTTTGTTACTCTCTTGTAACACCTCTAATCTTCTGGCGCTCATATGACCTTATGCAGTTGCGAGCGCCGTAAAACCTCTACTAAAACTAAACTAAACACACACACACACACACACACACACACACACACACACACACACACACACACACACACAAGCCACAAGTCAAGTTTTCTTTCTCACTTCTTGCGTGTTCAAGTTCAAGGTCTTGCAACAGAAGACATGATACATTCGCCATCCATGTGTCATGTGTGTCTCTACACACAGTGTGCAGATTAAAGTGTGTGATAAACAATTTGCAAACAGTATACTGGTGATGCTTTTCTCGGGGCTCACAGTCAACACGTGTGAATTACCGGGTCTATTTCGTCTGTTTCGTTATCTCGAAGCTCATAAAAGGAACTTAATGATTTGTGTTATTTGAGGGTTGCTTGTGAAGATTACATTGACATATAACCATGATTTCCTCTCATAATAATTTTTGGATGAGAAATAGGAGCATTTCGGATGATCAATAGTAATCATCTCACAAAGACAGAAGAAAAATTGGGGATTTTATTTATTTTTGTTTTATCATTGTTTGCGGATTAACCGTGTATCGGTAGAATTGTATTGACGAACAAAAGTAATTTTAGCTCGATTAGTGACATTTCACGTGCATGAGCCCTCATGAAGGAACAGACAAAATTGGACATTCTCAGAATAAAATAAATTGATTTGAAAATCAAAAACAAATGTAGATTTGTGTGGTTAGAGGAAAGTTTGACCATAGAATCTAAGAAAGTTGACATGGTCACTATTTGTGTTGGTGATTCTATTGTTAAAGTGGACATCTTTATAAATTATGGCAGCAAAGGCTGTGTTGCTATCATGGATCATCTTAAATCTGCAAAACATGGCAGGGAGGTTGATCATAGGCGCTCTAATTACACCCTTGGGGCCTAGTTTTCACAGAAAAGCTCCTGCTCTTTTATCTTTGTTTAAGCCCCCTCTACCGTCACCCAAACAGCCACCCTATCCCACTGATCTTGACCCGCCCTCTGCCCCTCCAGTCCCAAAACTCATTCTCCTTGTTGATGGCACTGCAAACATGGAAAGCATGATACTCTCCTTCATGGTAGAGAATAATTTTTATGGGTGCAATAGGGGCCCCGTGATTTTATTTCGCGGGTTCAGTGCTTCTGTCAGTATATTTTCCTCCTTTTTGACTTTTGCTCGTTATGATCACTGTTAAACATGACTACAAATTTTACTGAATTAACCGTTGTAATGAGAGAGGAGAGAACAGGCATGGTATGATGAGTGTAAGCCAAGGGTGTGTTTATTGCGTATGTCACAGAAGTGTCGAGATGTAGACCTGGCTTTCACACTTCAGTTGCATGTGTGGAGAGTCGGTGGTAGCTTGAAGGCACGTCTTGGGCATTGTCGCCAGGAGTGTCAGCACGCTTCCTCTTCAATAGAGTTTACACACAATGCAACAGATTGCTGGTGTGTTGCAAAGTAAGTTCTAGGTGAAGTTGTGGTAGTGAATGGACCACAGTAGAGCAAAAGAAACGGAAAGGCTTCTTAGTCAAGGCAAACGGCTTGTCGTAGGAGGTGGATACAAAATTAATATTAAAAAATCCAAGTCTGCCTCTTAAATAACCTTACAGTGTTGAAAGGGGCTGTAAACCTACACGATTTCACCATTTTTTTCGTGACTATAACCTAACAACAATATTGGCGTGGCATGTGGGTAGATTCATGTAAAATTTTTACCTATTTATGTAACTCTGTCTTTCTCCCATAGTGTAGCCTAAAATTTGTACATAGTGAAAATCATCTCTACGAAAATATTTCCGCCTCCCGTCGATTTTGCTATGTGCGTGCTAGTCTGTATTTTGAGTTCACTATTGTTGTTTCGTATGTGTGTAGCCTTAGGATAAATTAGTCCCCCCGACCCTTTCTCGTTCTCTCATTCTCTAATTCTCTAATTCTGTCTCTCTCTCCTCTCTCTCTTTCTCTTTCTGCCCCCCTCCCTCTCACACACACACACACCCACACACAAACATACAGTTACTGAGTTTTGTTTATCTCTGGAATTTTTTCAACTTTACTCTTAGAGTGAATTTAAATTTATACTTCTAATCCGACTTATAGAGTTTGAATCAAGTGACAACGGAACAAGCTGAGCACTACATTTCAAGAGAGAACTATTCGACCTGAATGAACGTCGCCCACTAATAACTTCTACATTGAGTTCATCACAACATAGCTCAACTCAACATGTGGCCTATCTGTAAATCCTATAAAAAACAGACACCCAGGAAAATTGTTACAGTCCCGGAGGTCAACAAGGAGACATTTAGTTCGTTTACAACACGTTTGGGTGCCACAGGAATTATCGTCAACATGTACAAGTTTCGCAGGAATGCGAAGTCTAAATCTACAATTGTATGGCGCTGCTGTACCAAAACCTGCACTGCAACTTGCAGTACTGATCAGGAAATGACAAAGCTGACGAGAGGACCATCAGAACACAACCATTCTCCTGCTGATGAAAGTGCCATCAACAAAGAGAGGGTTAGAGAGTCTGTGAAACGCATAGCAGTTGAAAACTTCAACGAAAGAGCTAGCAAGATTGTGTGCACAGAGACAAATAAAGTTGCTGGACTGGACTACAAGGACTACAAAAACTTGAAAGAATGTGTCTACCGAGCACGATTAAAACAACGGCCCAGTCAACCAATGAATCTAGTGAAGGTTGGTACAGTGAACCTCGTAACAAGAATGTTGGGACCAACCCAAGATCCTTGTTGAATCTGAGGCAGAGGTATCTATGACTCTATGGATCTGTTGGTAGTCTGGTACTAAACGTACATCAAAGAAGGGATGAAACCCGGGTAACATGATAATGATCAATGAGGGTCTTAATTGAGCAGTTGCCTCCCTTCATGGACATGGCAGCTATGGTTCATATCACCATCTGTGCCGCC